TATAACATTCTTCTTTATTATTATTACTACTACTACTTTTATATGTACATCACTTATCACTTTTTATTGTCACTTCATATATCCTCATTTTTCAACTCACAGCAGCTCGCCTATGGTGGAAACTCGGTTCTATCAAGACGATCTTGAGTCACTGCCTGGTCGAAAGTTGAATGCTTCCACCAAATAAGAATACTGAAGAAGTTTTTCTGAAACCACGTGGACCTTTCAAACTGGCTTCCTTCAACGTTTACACACTGATGCAGATCGGACAACAGATAGGGCTGGCTATGTCTTTGGAAAGTCTTCATATCGATATCTGCTGTCTATCCGAGACCCGTATTCAAGACTCTGGTGAAGTACTACAAATTCTCTCTATATCTGTCACTTCAAAAAGCTTGTTTTACGTGCGCTTATCCGGAGACCCTGTGGCATCTTCGTCCGGTTTTGCTGGCGTTGGTGTCGCACTAAGCACTAGAGCTGGAGCAGCACTAATCGATTGGATCCCCATTAACAGTCGGTTATGTGCTGTTAGATTAGAAAGTTCCATCAAAGTGAGAAGAAATCGGCGTGAGAAACGATGTCTTTTCGTCATCTCCGCCTATGCCCCGACAGATTGCAGCCCGGATGCAATCAACGATGAATTTTACCACCACTTAACTGTTCTTCTCCACAAAGTTCATCAGACAGATATTGTAGTACTAGCCGGAGACTTGAATGCTCAGGTCGGGCGTCTAAGCACAGAAGAGAGTCGTTTGGGTGGCCGATGGGGACTTGTTGGTCGCAGGACAGATAACGTGGACCGTCTGCTGCAACTGTGCACAGACCACAACCTGTTTCTGACTAGCACTAACTTCCGGCATAGTCGTCATTGATGTGCCACCTGGCGTCCTTCTTCTGCATCTCAAGCCTGGAATCAGATTGATCACATCGCGATCAGCTACGGCTAGCTGAGTTGTGTACAAGACTGCCACCTCTTTTGGAGTACTTCTCTGGACTCTGAGCATGCCCTGGTCTGCGCCAATCTTACCTTACTTTTCAGTGGCCAACGAATTCATCGTCCTAAACTCATTGATGTCAGTAAACTGATTGCGGCTTCTGTTGCAACAAAGTATCAAACCGTGCTAAGTTCTAGGCTAGCTATCGTCCCACAGAAAAATACAGACGACCATTGGTTGCGATTGCATGACGCCATGAAAATGGCGATTAAAGTCGCTTGCGGCTTCGCGAAACGTCTGGGTTTCTTCAGACTCCCTACAACTAATTGGAGCCCGTTGGTGTACTACAGGTGACCGTGAGTTTGACCACAAACGAAGGATGTTACGTAAGGAAATTGGGCAAAGCTTGCGTAAAGACCGAGAAGCCTGGTGTTCGAAGCGTGCTAATGAGTTGGAAGCAGCAGCTGCATCTGGTAATTACCGGAAGCTCTTCCAACTCATCCGAGCCACTGGCAGCAAGAAGTCTGGTGTGAGTGAAACAATCTGCGAGGATGATGGGATGCCAATCGCTAACATCCATCGACGTCTCGGACGATAGGCAGAGTTTTTCGAAGGGCAGTTCAACTGGCCTGCTGCTCCGGCAACATCGGTCAGACTGTCCTGCCCTCCATGGCCGGTGACGACTGATCCACCAAACGAGGAGGAAGTCCGCAAGGAACTCCAACTCTTGAAGCGTTACAAATCACCTGGCCCATATGACTTATCTCCGGCTCTTTTTAAAGATGGTGGTGACTTTTTGACTAAGGAATTGACGACGTTGTTTACAAAGGTTTGGGAACTAGAGAGTGTACCAATGTCATGGAATGAGTCGATAGTTGTCCCTATCTTTAAAAAGGGTTCACGTCGTTCCTGCAACAACTATCGGGGGATAAGTCTACTTCCGATTGCGTCCAAACTATTGTCTTCCGTTATACTTCGTAGGTTGTTCAAAACCCGAGACAAATTGGCTTGTGTGGAGCAGGCTGGGTTTCGTTCTGGTCGAGGATGTATTGACCATGTCTTCATCTTCCGCCAAATGTTAGGACGTTGTCACACTTAAACAGGCCAACAATCGTAGTGTTTCATTTCATTAGGTCCGCCTTCAATTTGTTGGACGGACTGCTCTCTGTGATTATCTGTTGAAGAAGGACGTGCCTGAGAAGTTTAATAACATCTTGGAAACCCTATGTACCAATACCTCAGAAGAGTGAGGGCGTACAACTACCTCTCTCGATTGTCCTATTCAAAAAGTGAGGTTAGACAGAGTTGCCGAATCTCACAATTCCTCTTCAACTTTGCCATCAATGACAGCTCTGATGGATGTAAGTAATGGCGGTATGGATCTGTTGCCTGGAGAAAGACTCCATGACATTGAGTATGTGGATATTGTCTTACTGTGCGATAATGCCCAACCCATAAAATGCGCACTTAATCAGTTGGCAATCAATGTCCGTAGGTACGGTATATGCTTCTCACATTCGAAGTGCAAAGTGCTTCTACAAGACTGGCAGGATTCCAATCCTGTACTCACCCTGGATGGTGAGTAGATAGAAGTAGTCGAGAACTTCGTATATCTAGGTATCTACATAAGTGCTGGTATTGGCATGAGTGATGAGATCAATGCACGTATAGTGAAAGCCAGAGCGGCTTATGCTGATCTACGCCATCTTTAGTGCCTTCCTGATGTCAGTCTGGCTGTGAAAAGTCGGATCTACAACGCGTCGGTGAGAGCAGTTATGCTCTACGCTTGTGAAACCTGGCCTCTCCGAGTTGAGGACCTTAGACGACTTTCTGTGTTTGATCCTCGTTGTCTCCGAAGGATTGCTGACATCCAGTAGCAACATTATGTTAGTAATGCAGAGGTTTGGCATCATGTGTTCGGGCGCAGAGACGATAATTCAATTGGTGTCACTATCTTGAAACATAGATTTCGGTGGCTTGGACATGTTCTATGAATGTCGTCCCAGAGAATTCCTCGTCGTGCATTATTTGCCGATGCTGTGACTGTTTGGAAAAAGTGGAGAGGTGATCAGTGTATGACATGGTGCCGGGGTATGAAAGAAAGCGGTACAGGACTGGCTTCTGTTGGTCTTTCACTACTTGGCTGGGGTCCTAGAGTAGGTGCAACACAGTGGCTGGAGACGTAATCAGATATGGCTCAGAATAGAAGCCAGTGGCGATCATAAAAAGTGACCGTACCTTCTTTAACTGAAAGGATTCTTTCTGTTTCCCCCATTATTATTTCACTACCATACACTAATTTGTAGTCGTTTTTTGTTCTCTTTACACGCACCTCATATATTTTATCTCTTTTCATTGTAACTGGTGCCCCCTTGTACCAATATTTATATGTTCAAATAAATAAATGCGTTGTTATCACAAACTAACAACTGTAGGTCATTTCATCTCCACTTATTCCATCAGTGGAAAAGTTATGCGAAATAAAACCTTAGGCTGTCTAGTCATATGGTATTGAATTTCTTAATTTCATATAATTTACGATATTATTTTATTTTATCAAACGAAATTTATCGTGCCAGTGACTTGGAAGATGAAGGTAATGTTTGTTTATATTAATTTTTACAGTCTATCTCGAGGCACACTACTAATTATTATTGCTTAATGAAATCGATCACAGATACCTACTTAAATTAGTTTAGCGACTGTTTCAAATGTGAAATAGTCTCGTAGTAAACGATATTTTCAATTTCTCAAATAGAAAATAAATATTATTTTAAACACTAAAACTTTGAAAAACAATAAGTTATTTATTTTTATATTAATGTCCCAACAACATTTCAACTTTTATTCTATGATCCACGACTTTGTTGACCTGATTAGCAAGTTTTTTTAGTAAGGCTATTTACTTACCAGATGAAGTTGCTGACCTCATGCCATACACACTTCCCCCATATCCGGGCTTGAGGCGGTCTGTAATCTTAGAATGGTTCCAGGTTGAGTTTACTTATTTTATACTGATAACTTTTCGGACGAGGAATTTTTGCATAGTTGAATGAATTTTAGTTATTAATTATCTGACTTAATCTTTTGTATATCTTATAGCAGAGAATGCCCATGACCATTCAGATCTATGCTTAACCACCAAACCACTGAGTCAATACCAGATAGTTTAAAAGTACGGAGCTAACACGAAAACTACTCACAAAAAGGTCATGTGTGAGCGACTTCAAGCAGTCTTCTCTTGGGCACTGTTGTCACGCTCTCAGGTGATTAAGACCACCCCTAACCCAATTTCTTTTCCAGGTGCCTCTAGAAGATCACTTCAACGGTGTGGGCAACCGGGAAGTGGTGACCGCCCTCAGACCTCTAACAGCACTCAAGATCACTGTATTAACTGTCTTCAAATTTGGTCAACCATCTGCCAATATCGGTGGGTTGGTAACAGCCTCACATCTAACATAGCTGAGCTCTACTTACCAAGGCTTTTACATTAGGATTCAAGGAATTCTCAGAATTAATCATTATTTGAGGATACAATCACTATTAATATAAAGGGGTTTGGGGAGATCGTTGAACTTTATAGTTTAAGTCACAGAGTAACCTTAGACAACTAATGAAAACTAAGAAGCAATGTACAATTATTCCTTCCTAGTGTTTTCTGCTAAGTAATAATTCTGAAACAATTTTCACTTATCTAGACAAGCATCAAAATAGCAATTTATAAATGCAGAAACCAATCATGCTTTTTAAATCGATAGACTATGGGTGATTTAACATAACATCAGTGAAATTGAAGAGATTTCGCCAAACAAGATTCTGTGTATGACAAGTGAACCAGTAATCTTACTCATTTGAAAAGGTAAGTTTATAAATTCTAGATTCATCTGTAGATACCAAATAACCAGCTGAAATGAGACATCAGTTCGTCACACAAAAAACTGCATAACTTTGTCTACAATTTATTAATTAACAAGCACATTTCAGCAGACAATTATGATAGGACTAATTGATTTAAACCACATAAAAACCTTCCGTTTTTCTATTTTTCACTGTATCTGCTTGTAGGTGCGGCAAATACTTCGTTTATTGTCAGCATCCAGAGTTCAGAAGATTTCGTATTTATCTACTCTACTATAATGCATATATTCTCTTTCCAATCGGAAATATTTCAGAGACAGCAAGTGTATGGTTTACTCTAGTTCTATCTGTAGAACGTTACTTAACTATGAGCCAAATAGGTTCAGCATATCAAAATAAACTCAGGATTCAATCACCTAACACATTACATTCAAAACAAAAAAGTGAAATATTGTATAACACAAACCATTCAACTTATACCACAGAATATCAAGAAACTTTTAATGGAGATAAAAAATCGCCAAAAAGGGATTCAATTGAAACAGTAGAAAATATAGTGGAACAGCAACAGCATAGTGAACAACAAACAACGGTGGGTAATTTCAAATGGTATGAAAAGCTCTCGAACTGTTGTAATTTATCAATATTAAAACAACATATCAGAAATAGTTTGACCAATATTCCAACGCCAAAGTCTTTATGTATCTTACATAAATTACACCATTCACATTTAGATAGATCAATAGGACGTTGTAGTTTAAATAAATGCATACAACTGTATGCTTGCCGAAATTGTAACTTCAAACATTCACTAATTTTTATAACATTTTTCAGTATACTACTTAATTTGCCACTATTCTTTGTTCAAAAAGTTGTCAGGAAAAATAATCCTATAAAAAAACCAACAATTAAACAAATGGAAAACAATAAAACAAGTGAGTGGCTACATACTATATCAAACCACTTCAATAATTTAACTTCAACTGATAATCAATACAATCAGGGTCAAATACAGGTTTTCACTGGGCTTACAGAATTCGGTAATTCAGACTTTTATAAGATTTTCTCATGGACACGTATTATGTTAATACAAGTTTTACCGTTATTATTCCTATGCTTCGTCAATTTTTGTTTATTGCGTTTCATACATATAGCAAATAAACGTCGTCAAAGGTACTTATTACCAGATATGTCTAATAAAAAAACCGGCCGTTTTAAATTACATAAAGCAAATTTGCGCAGCACAAAAGTTAATAAAGCTTCAAGCACCAAATGGCAAGCGGCACAGCGTAAATTAACCATTTTATTAATCGTTATTATTTGTTTATTCATAGCCGGACAAATACCACAAGCATTTGCATATATTACTATATTTGAAGCATTTAATAGACATTTTGGTAATGTATGCAAACGATGGAGATGTTGTCCTCCATATTTGATTTATCGTTCAATAGCGCATATGTTGGGCTTATTTACTTACTCTATTAATTTTTTTGTTTATCTTACATTGAATAAACATTTCAAACAACAATTAAACATTTGGTTCCTATTGATATGCCCTATTAGTAAACAATTTCGGAACAAGTGTTTATTAAAACAAAACAAATCAATAAATCATTCTTATGATCAATCAAAATCTAAATTATCATTCACAAATCAACATAAATCAATATCTCTACCTCGTACTAATCTTTATTATCGTATGTGTAAAAGAAGACGTTCATCTACGTTATTTTGTAATCCTACAAAACGACTAATATCAATTGACAATACAGATTTATCTTCTGAAGCTGTTTCAGCTCCAGTTGATTTATGCACCAGTTCAAAATGGAAAAATAAAGATTTTCTACAATTAAATGAAATGAAAAAAGATTTATTATCAACAACTATTCATCATTCCCCTCAATATATGAACAAAATCAATTCAATTAATAAATCAGAAAATACTATTGATTATATCAAAATGAATTATTCCTCAGTACCTGCTATTAATGAAGTATCAAATTATTTAGTCATATCAAATCCTGTTAATACAGATAATAATCTACTTTATAAACCTATAGAAACTCAATTTCAACAATCATCTTTAAACACTAAAAATAATGATCCATCAATTAATTTTATACAATCAACAAATTGTCAAACAGAAATAAAATATGATTTAAATAATCCATCATGTATTTATAAAACTTTTCGTGCTTATTATTCACATGATTCAGTGATAAAAAATTGGATATTTCAATTAACTAATAATAATGATAATAATCAAAATACTAAACAAATTACATCACAATTACATTCAAATCAATTAATAACAAATGAACATAATTTAAACAATAATTTACAACATGGTCAATATGTTCAGAATTATAATAAGTGTAAAGAAAATATGATTAATAATGCAAAACAAAATATTATACATTGTGTAAATCTGAATATGTTGCGCAATAGTAATAATAATAATAATAAAGATTATTATAATAAAAGTAATGATAATATTAGTAATAGTACTAATAGTAGTACTAGTAAAAACAGTAATAGTGCGATAACAAATTCAAAAACTTGTACTCATTCAATAATTGATTCTGATTCACATGGTGTTGGTTTGACATTTTCACATGTTTATTGTCCACTTATATATAGAGAGAGTGATTTTGATGTGATTTCAGTTGATGAAAGTAATGCACAAGATGAACCAGAGCCTAATTCATTTTTATAAAGTTAAGTATATGTTTTATGAAATAACATATGAACATTTGTTTATAATAAAAGAATTAATATTTTCGTTCTTAATGTTATATCTAGTATAAGAAGACTAGGATCTATGTATCGTTGAAACATAATAGCACATAAATAAACAACATAGTATACATCTAATATTATTCTCAGATATAAATACTTGCTATCGTTTCAATGTTGTTTCTTCATTTATAGTTTTACCATGGTCATAATCATCGTATGAGTAAAATTCTTCCTGATACATCGGTGTATTTTATAAAAGATATAAATATTTATATACATAAACATTTCACTGTGAATGTTATTTATGGTATAATATACGTGTTGCGGTATATAGAATTAGTGTACAGTAAAATTCTTTTTATTGAACAAGCTATAAGGTCATTCCTACTTACAGAAAGAAGAAAGAATTTATTGACAAATATTTTTCTAAAAAATATATATATATATTTTTATGTTGCCCGTAGTTTGATCTCACTTTATAAACTTGCTGTACGATTACAACTTTTTTGTAGTACACTATTAGGTAGAGCCTTATTACATTTTCTAAACTATTCATAATGCTGTAAAGTATATGTATATATTTCAATAGTACCTGAATTATTTATTAGGTTACAAGATTCAAATAAAACTTATTACAATAAACGAATTTTCCATTTGTTAAAAGGCAGATTTTGTGGAGTTTAACCTTGAAATCAAGACTAACTACGCTATACAGTGCAGATCTAAACATTATTTACTTTATTTAAAACTTAATCATTAGAGATGCTTTCATTCTATTATCTTGATTGAGTGACTTCATATATACATTAGAGCTATATAAAGAGGTCATCCAATCATCAGAAATATTGCTATGACCAATTCACCAAGCTTGTATTTTGCATCAAGAATAGCTATACGAGGATAAATTTCGTTTCTGTATATAACTTGATAGCTTATAAAAATATGATCGTACAAACCATTTTACGCTAAATAAAAACATGCTTTCACTTATTATTATCTAAACACACAAGAAGTAGATGACTAATATGTAGATTTTTAACTGTAAATAAAAATTGGGTGTTTGTCAATAATGTTACCATTTCCTAAATAATTCGTCAATGTCACACTTACACGTTAAAACTTAAAAATATTGCTTCTACCACTGAAAGCTTCGATAGTTTTAAACTAATTAACATCCATGGGTTATATTTTGGCACTATAAGACTGGGTGTGCGGCATTTCATATTAACTAATAGTTTGGTTCTACATTCATGGGTCAAGCGATTACTAACCTACAGAAACAATCCTTTATTCAAATAAGAATTCATTACAAAAACACTGAATCTTTGTGCGATACAAAAATGTAAAGCAGGAGAGAAACACAGCGAATTGAACATTAAGTAAAGTGGCCTTCCGGAGGATAATTCGATTAGCAGATATTAAACGGAACTAAGTAATCAAGTTTCAGGTATCAATAAAACCAAAGAGCAACAGGAACCATTTCCAAACTAGTAACCAACAATACTTGAGTGTTCGAAATTCCAAAAACCAGTAAGTCACTTGAAGAAGAGTTCTAGGACTTTTCACAGAAACTTCTAAAAGTGGAGCAAAAACATATTAACAGGTAGTTGTTTAAAACAAACCTGCAAACAAAATTCGGCAAAAATTGACAAATTTTAGGATACAAAGACGCATTGCAGTAAATAAACAACAGTCGAAACAGAACACAGAAAAAATAACGAAAGTTAAAAGAGTCGAACGTTAACTTCAAAAGATGCTAATATACAATGCGAGGTGAATTCCAACCATATTTCTAAATCTAACAAAACTGTTCGCAACCAGTACACGACTACACAATCCGGCTACATGAGTCAGGCTTACACTTACCAAACCAAAGATATCACATAGAACACAAACAATGGAAACCCTAGTAGTCGGGAAACAATTTTGCGCAGTCTACTACTTCATACTTAGGCGACTGGTGCTGCAACTGCGTAATAGAAACATTAACGACAAATAAAAGATGAACAAAAGTAAACCTTCTAGACACCATCTACCTTTTCAATCGACACTTAATACCGATGTGCATCGTCGAAACAACCAATTTATCCGAACACAATAGACCCTACCCAACGCACCACTGTGATCACTGACTTGTCTCGACATTTATACATGTAATCTGTATATACATATCTATGATACTTCGTTACGTTCAGTGCTGGAAACCCATTTGACAATTTATCCTGAAGAGATCACCTCACAGTCAACACCCGAACATGAAACCGACACATCAGTCAAGAAACACTGTGCTAAGCACCTGTTCTTTGTTGGTGACCTACAACAAACTGTCCTCGCAGGCAAACTCCAGTCTGATCTTTATTCGATGGAATATAGCATTTACACACTTCCAAAATAGATATATCCCACCGTCTTTATCGATGTTCAAGCCAGTCCGCATAAAATTCTGTTAAATTTAGACTAAGACACTAATGAGCATCAACATTTAAATAAATAAAGTGTACTATCAGGCTGCTGGATAAGCCATCAAACACAGGAAGACCTCCTTAAACTAAGCATATGAAGTATGTAGTGTAAACCATTTATTAAGCACAGGCTTATAAACTCGACTTTGAGTCGCACTGTTTGTGTGAAAGCTAATGATATTAACCGAATTCCCCAAACCGAGGTAGGTGAGGTGGGGTTAGAGCCCGCAACTTATCGGTTGATATATACTTACAACACTGAAACAACCATGTTCAGCGCATTGTCAAAACATTGCATTGGAATCACGACGACTAATACGATACAATACAATACGTTACATACCCAACGCACAATAGAAGGCAGACGTGAAATGATTTACCGAAGGCGCGAATTCTTCGGACACTTCATAATACGGTTACCTGTTATATATTTTGGAAAATGTTTTATCAATTACTCCAGTGGCTTACCGTACGCATCAGGATAACCAGAATCTAGGCCCGAAGAACGGGGTTAGAACCACCACTTTTCGGCAATCCTGCTGCAGTCATGTAACCACCCCCACAGCTCACACACCCACCAGCATGAACAACCTTGGTTGTCAACGCCAAATGTCCGCAAGCAAATTCTGTTCACGCTTTGAGAATTGGCTATCTTGGTTACTCTGTAGAGCAACCTTTAGACCTACACCGACTAATCCCCATAACACAATGTGTGAACAGCTACAGCACCACAGCAAAACCTGCTAGTCTCACCATCAGACAGCCGCTTTGCCGGAAAGATTTAACTGCACACCAGCACAACTATGTTTCCAGATTAACAGCTAAACTCCGAGTTAAAAATCTGCAAACAGCTAACTGGTCAAAACTGTCTCGCCTGACACTGCGAACAACAGCAATCTCCCATGTATCAGCATAGCATACAGGCAATCCATATCGGCAGGATATTAGCTGATAAGAAAAGCAAAAGGCTTAGTTAGATGATAGATTCATGATATATATGTATAAACCAATAAAAACAATGAACAAGTTAAATAAGCGTCAGCAGTCAACGTCGTTCTCTTGATAACGACCGACTATAATGTCGGGGAGAAGAAGGAAGACGATATCGATCGTTCATTCTACGTGGTGACCGCCTGTCACGACCAGACGAGAAAGAACGAGAACGCCGTCCATTACGTCGCGGAGTAACCGATCATCTGAAAAGTTAAAAGTGAACTCATTTGCGAGAATACAGTTACACAAAAATAGTGATAAATGATGCATGCAAGCGGACACCAATAATTCAAGAGAGAAGTAGAACAAATATAACAAGATAAATTGAAATACAGAGAGAATAATTAACTAGCTATTACTTACTTACTTACTTACGCCTGTTACTCCTCGTGAAGGAGCATAGGCCGCTCACCAGCATTCTCCATCCAACCCTGTCCTGGGCAATCCTTTCTAGCTGCGTCCAGTTGTAATTCATCGTTTTCATATCTGCTTCTATTATCCGACGCAATGTGTTCTTTGGCCTTCCTCTTGTTCGCTTCCCTTCAGGATTCCAAGTTAGGGCTTGTCTCGTGATGCAGTTTGCAGATTTGCGTAATGTATGTCCTATCCATTTCCATCGTCTTTTCCTAATTTCTTCTTCAGCTGGAAGTTGGTTTGTTCTCTCCCACAGAAGGCTATTGCTGATGGTATCCGGCCAATGGATGTTGAGTATCTTGCGTAGACAACTATTTATAAATACTTGTACCTTCTTGATGGTTGTTGTTGTAGTTCTCCAAGTTTCAGCTCCATACAGTAGAACTGCCTTGACGTTGGTATTGAAGATTCTCACTTTGATATTGGTTGAAAGTTGTTTTGAGTTCCATATGTTCTTTAACTGTAGGAATGCTGTCCTTGCTTTGCCAATCCTTGCCTTTACGTCTGCATCTGAACCTCCTTGTTCATCGATGATGCTTCCCAGGTATGTGAAGGACTCTACATTTTCCAGAGTTTCGCCATCAAGAGTGATTGGGTTGTTCTTTTCCGCTTTGAATTTGAGGACTTTGGTTTTCCCTTTGTGTATGCTGAGGCCTACTGATGCAGAGACTGCTGCTACACTGACTGTCTTCATCTGCATCTGTTCATGTGTACGTGAAGGGAGGGCTAGGTCATCTGCGAAGTCCAAATCGTCTAATTGATTCTGAGCTGTCCATTGAATTCCGTGTTTTCCTTCAGATGTCGAGGTCTTCATAATCCAGTCGACCACCAGAAGAAAGAGGAAGGGAGAGAGTTAACAGCCTTGTCTGACTCCGGTCCTAATTTGGAATGCATCTGTCAGCTGTCCTCCATGCACGACTTTGCACTGTAGTCCGTCGTATGAGTTCCGGATAATGTTGACAATCTTCTCAGGAACTCCGTAGTAATTAACTAGCGCAGTCTAACTTCATACTTAGGCGACTGGTGTTGCAACTGCGTAATAGAAACATTAACGACAATAAAAGATGAACAAAAGTAAACCTTCTAGACACCATCTACCCTTTCAATCGACACTTAATACCGATGTGCATCGTCGAAACAACCAATTTATCCGAACACAATAGACCCTACCCAACGCACCACTGTGATCACTGACTTGTCTCGACATTTATACATGTAATCTGTTATACATATCTATGATACTTCGTTACGTTCAGTGCTGGAAACCATTTGACAATTTATCCTGAAGAGATCACCTCACAGTCAACACCCGAACATGAAACCGACACATCAGTCAAGAAACACTGTGCTAAGCACCTGTTCTTTGTTGGTGACCTACAACAAACTGTCCTCGTAGACAAACTCTAGTCTGATCTTTATTCGACGGAATATTGCGTTTTTACACTTGTTTTTTCAATCGACACTCAATACTGCCGTATATAGAAACTCATCATTTTGTCTATGATCCAGTGGAATACAAGATTCATACACTTCCAAAATCTATCTATACCATTAGCTTTATCGATTAACTTTTCACTCATTGAAAATCGCGTCGATTTTTTACCAGAGAAGTTGTGATATCGACTAATGAGTACATAAAATAACGCCTCGTGTTGAAATATATGCTACTTCTTCTCGATATTACCGAGATTTCATGGATAGATAATTTCGAATCCAATTCTTTTCGTGAGGTCGCTATAAACGCGAAATAGGATGTAATTTGTGGCTTAGAGTATTGTACACAAAACCAGTTTTAACAAAATTATTCTTACCTTCTACGGTTTGGAGTTGGTCGGCCATATTTTGCTCTTTGGACTCGGACTTCTCTCCCATCTACCTTATGGCCATCCATACCGCGTATGGCACAGTCAGCCTCGCGGTCAGTGCAGTATCGAACGAAAGCAAATCCTCGACTCTCGAAAGTATAGGGATCTCTAGGTATGTAGATATCACCTGTGACGAAAGGTGTGTAAATGAAGTTTCACAAGAGGGCGTGTTTTAGGACACGCGTTACTTACCAACTTCACCGAATCGGCTGAAAACTCTTCGCAAGTCATCAATAGTTGTTCTATATGCCAGGTTATCAACTTTCAACGATACCATCCCATCGATTCTTGGTGGAGATCGACCGTACCTGTTCATAACTGTGAGTTCTGAAACCGGATATCAATGACTAGTGACCTAGCTAACCATTGATAAAAACAAGGTCATGCTATAAAGCATATTGAAACATATTTTGGTACTTTCTTGTAATATGGTCTAAAAAATAATGTAATTCGAAATAGATCGCTATATCGGATGGTTATGGATGGAATACTGAAAACTTTCGTTTGATTTTTTTTTTAAAAAGGACAGTAGTATTTTTCCTCGCTGAGTAAATTTGTTTGTTTTGATCGTTTATTACGTATCAAGACTACTGTTTTCACTTTAATTGAATTTATTTCAGTTAAAGAATTCGATTAACGTATCGTTTTTACTGTTTTGTCGTTGGTACTCTTGAGTACCTCTTTTTCAACTGTATCTGTTAGTACTTTAGGTCCTAGCAATCTACAGCACTTCACTTTTGGTCATTGAAAATTGTTTTTTTTGTTTTGTTTCTGAGTATCATCGTAGTTTGAAAAAAGAACCCCTCTTAAATGACCGGACAGTGTAATAAAAGTAGTTGTCAACGTCCGGGTTGTCGCTATCCTTTTGAAAGCGGGATGCAGTGCGACGAGTGCAAAGGCTGGTACCACGAAGTCTGCACGAACTTAACGCCTGCTGCTTTCAAACGGTACAGTAAAAAGGGTTGTGTGTGGCTTTGTCAACAGTGCTGCTCGGATGCAAACAGCTTGCTAACCGAGGCCATCTCACTGGTTGATGCTGCAAAGAAGTGCTTCAGCAAGCATAGTCGGAACGCGTCAAGCAGCACTCGATCTGTCGACACGCAAATCAACGTGAAAGAAACTAAGGTTAGTCCGGTGACAGATGACTCACGCCTGTCAAAGAAGGAAAAGCAGTCTCCAAAGAGGCCTGCCTTAAACAAAAGCTCAAGAAAAGTAGGGTCTTCTGTTCCTCGTCTCCCAGATGGGATCCAACAGGAAACACCTAGAAGCCGCAATCGCAAGGCTCGATCGGTTTCAAACGGTAAACATAACACGACCCCTCAGGTCGTCGACAACCCCCCAAAGCCCAACACTGAGTTTGACGCAACTGTTATTGCTTCTATTAGCACCGTTGAGGAATGGGTAAAGGTTGTGAGGAAGAAAAGTAGGGATATAAAAGGGAAATCTGCTCCCGTAAAAGTGGTTGAAAAATCGAAAGCTGATCATAGCGACAGATCAGCTATTTTTCATAGAATCAGGGAAAGCGATAGCTCTGAACCTAAAGCTCGTTTTGAGCATGACATTGTACTGATTAGGCAGCTGCTTAATCAACTCATGCCTCAAAATATGACCGGGGTCACCTTGCTAAAGGTGTACAGACTAGGGAGTCTAACGGACTCGAAACCAAATCATTCCAGACTGCTTAAAGTAGTATTCGGCTCTTCGAACGAACGTGACCAAATTTTACAAAATGGGCACAAATTAAAGGGTTCAGGAGTCTTTATTCGAAAGGACCTACCGTTGGCAGACCGTGTTAAAAGACGGGAAGCCGAGAAAGAACTACAACATAGGTTAGACGCTGGTGAAAAGGACCTGAAAATTGTAAATTTTCGGGTTGTAAGACTTCGACAGAGAATGATGCCGAAGCCACTCTGGGTGAAACACAAAGGCACTTAAACAGGCTTCGGATCTGTTACACCAATGCACGAAGCTTACTTAATAAGCGATCGGAACTAGGTGTACAGATTGACTCTACAAAGCCAGACATAATCGCAGTAACAGAAACCTGGCTGACACAGGCTATAGATAGTATAGAACTTGATTTCGAGGGCTTTACGTTAGTAAGGGCCGACAGAACACAAAAGCGCAAAGGAGGGGGAGTAGCTCTATTTATTAGGAATGCTATCCCATTTACCATTATCGGTAGTGTATCTCATGAGAGTGGGACGTGTGAATTAGTCTTCGCCTAAAATGCAAGGGACAAGAGCCGCTGATTGGTTTGGTCTATCGCAGTCCAAGCTGTGAGGCGAATGAGATCCTGTTAAGCAGTCTCAATACTTGGTCCCAAAGTGGTCGATGTCTAATCCTAGGGGACTTTAACGCACCTATGGTAGACTGGGAAAATCTGCGAATTAAATCGTCGGAGAATTCTTTCGAGCAGGAACTAGTTGATGGGATTATCACATGTGCTCTAGTACAACATGTGAAAGAAGCGACAAGGTACGATCCGGACACTGAATCATCCTTATTAGATCTTATACTGACTCACTATGAGGATGATGTTGCGAACCTCCAACATATGCCACCCTTAGGTAAAAGTGACCACGCAGTTTTAACTTTCGACTTCCATATAACTGTCAGTCATGAGGACGCGTTAGTCCAGTCCAGACCCAACGTCTGGAAAGCAAACATACCAGCCATCATGCACTCAGCATCGTTAATAGGTTGGACAATAGACCCAGAGTCCTCCATTAAAACGGCCTGGGACGCATTTCGAAATTCATATCTTATCGCAGAACTAGAGGCGACTTGATTACAGTCTACAAATTGCTTAGTGATAAATTTGCACCTAATATGCCCTCATTTTTCTTGTCTTCCAAAACAGAGAATTTACGAGGACACTCCAAAAAAGTTCACAAGCCGAGAACAAATTACTTGTCAGCTGACTATCGACTTTCCCATCGAATAATCAACGAGTGGAATTCACTACCTCAGCACGTGGTTGAGGCCACATCCGTCGACTCTGTCAAAAGAAAGTTGGATCAACTGAGAGACCATCATTGCCAGGACTAACATAGGCCATCGAGCCTCCTGTCCTTCCCAAACTGAAACTGAAACTGAAACTTCATGTCCATATACCTATATCCCCAGATTGGGATCTAGGAACATAGTACAATTCCTAAGAGTGCATGAAGTTAACTCCTAAAAGGCTCCTTTGGACAGATAGTAGAGAATCCCAAGACATGACAACTTGTAATCAGTAGAAGCTGTCTGTACTGTTTGATACAAACATTAAGTTCACACATCATTATACTTATTCGTAATAAGAGGCCTAACAGAACATACGAATGTCAAATGCAATAATTCAATTCCATCGACCAAACCGACCTCAGTGGGGCGATTAATTCGAAAGCCTTATATGGGTATCTTTATGGTGTTCCTTTGTTTGTTTATTTGTCTATCCATTTACCTCTAAGATATATTCCACCATTATATTGATCTACAAACATTTCACACGCGTTGAATAAGTAACAGACTGAGCTGTTTGTACTCTTTGTTGCAGTACAGACTAAACTACTCTAATGAAATCCTGGGTTTCATTTTATTACAATATCCTATTTCCGGTGTTTCCTGATTGTTAGTGACTATAGAACCATAAATGTAATAGGAATAGATCAAGTTTCCTTCCCCTGAACTAACTTAGCTAATGGCGAATTCCAAGGCGTAACTACTCATGAAGAGGTAGAAGGTGGGCTATCTCCTTAGCTTTCTGTGTTCCGCCTCTGATTTATGGGTGGCCCCCTAAGATATTTTCCTAGCACTAGCATTTGCAAGCATCTTTTTAAAAAATGCATCAGTTTTTGGGACGCTTTACGGTACTAAAAAATCGCCTACGAGTCACGTATAATTAAATAAAAAAGGATCCAGCGTTTTAATGCATCCTACATAAAGTGTGGGCTTGAATTTTCAATTTAGTTACGTGATCAGTTTGCGTATATGATCTACTGTATTCTTAACCATTTTAGAGTGGTGGTGAAAACGCTATATTTTCGTACTTTTAGTTAGGCTGAATGTTACTTGAAAATCACACAGAAAGCTTCGAATCAACCACAATATACTTCAAAATTACCGATATAAGGTTTACTCTAAAGGCTTTTCATCACAATTAGCATACGATCTTAGATCATAGGAAGTCAAGACGCCTAAATACGTCCGCTCAACAACACTTCTATAAATGCATTGCCTATGTTGCATGTGTAGTTTGTTCCAGATACTAAATGAACTACTTTACACTTTGAAAAATTTAAAGTTGGTCCATTAAATTTTAGTCACCTCCTACTGAGGCGCTATCTTATTATTCTGGTAGCAAACTTATCCAAAAAACTCCGAGTCATCAGTAAAGCAATCATTCGGAAGATACCCATCGAAAAAGATCATTTCTATGAATTAGAAAAGTCCTAGTGCGGAGTTCTCGAGGACCCTAATAAAGCATCCTATAGCCCGAAATATTTAATAATTAACCCTGAACTTAATGAGCCAATTATTTAGGTACTACTTTACCCAGCTTATAATTGGCGGGTGATCTTATCCGCAACGCAACCATGTAAACTTAATGTATCGCACACTTTCATGTGTGCGTCCAAGTAACCACATATTTTGTCATTTCACAATGTATTTTTAATTAAATAACTAGATTATATAGCTAATTTTGCCCTTTTTTTAATTTTTATTCGCCACGTCCGACTGCGTTACACTGCACGTCCATTGCACACTGGGATGATACCTCAAGTCATAGTGAGTTTATTCACATAGTTGATTGTTTCCAGATAGACTGTCAGTGCATGGTTTTACTGAAGAAAGGTTTATTGTACTATAAACTATGTTTCTATGATTAACTGATTGTTGTCTTCAGTCGGAAAGCAATATATATTCTTTATCTTCTGTTAGGTAAGTTCAATTGGATATATTTCGTGCTTTGGTTTTATAGGCCTAATTATGTCCATTTAACTACTTTAAGCAATATGCCTGTGCAAATGAAACAATAACTATGACACTTGCTTAGTTTAGTATTCTTGGTTGTCGTATAATTCAGTTTAGTTGAAAGAATTATGGTATACTTAAGTATAGTTTAATAAGTAGATTTGCCCGTTTCTAATTAATGTACTGATTCAAATCAGTCTGATTAAAAATAGGAAAAAAGTGCTTTTGGTACTGTTGCTGTCATACATTATATGATAGCGATAAGTATGTTTGTTGTTTATTTCTAGATTGTACATCTATCACTGACCATATTTCATGATCCATGTCATTAAACAATTTCCCCAGCAATAACACCGGTAGCAGGATAGCTAAGTGTGTGAGCTTTTATTTGCCCGCAGAAGCGCAGT